TAAATGTCAACAATTGTTAATAAGAATAAATTAGCTCATTAAAAAGCCTTGTGTCCAAAAAATATGAACTAAATTTTTTAAAATTTAAAGGTGTGGTCAGTTCATATTAATATACAAGGAGTTTATTATTAAAAATTTATAAAAAATTTATTATTGATATATAATGGTATATTATTGACAAATATAATAGATTAAATATAATATAAAATATAATAAATATTGAATTGTTTGCTTTTGTTGATTCTATAATATAGGCTATGTCTATAAAATGACTTCCCCACCACTCACATTCAGAAAATAACCCTGCACACCTTCTCTTCCGATCTTCCCACTCCCTCCCTGAAATGACATCCCTTCGTCTAAATTGATAAATTAATTAATATACAATTGAGCTCCAATAAATACAAATTATGGGAAAATATATACTGATTGACTAATCTAATGCACTTAGCTTCCCCCTTTGATGCAGTGAGAAGAAATTTGAACCATTCAAATTTAATTAAGATGGTTCTAATTAAATTTTTTATTTTTATTTTATTTTTATTGAAGTAAAAATAATATAAATTATAAAACATTTTAATAAATATGTTTACCGATATGAATAATCCAAATTTAATATATATGATCTACATTTAATATTAAATTTTTATAATTTTTATAAATTACCTATCTAGATATACTTTGAATTGTGCAAATTTATTATTAGATTTTTTAATATCAAATTTGGACAATTTATATTAAATCTACATTGTTTAAACTAGTGAATAAATTTATTAAATTTTTTATAATTCACATAGTTTTTATATTAATAAAAATATTAAAAAAATATTAAATTTAGACCATTTTAATTAAATTTGGATGGTTTAAATTTCTTTTCAGTTAGAGGAGATGCAATGTAGGCTTCCCTCCAAGTTATAATTCATCCAATTTATCTTATCCTATTTCCTGTTTCTCTGATGGGCTTTAGCCCATTTCTTCCAGATTTGTATAAGTTGGTCCATCAGAGTAGCCCATAACATTTTATGGGCTTTATTTTCCTATTGTTGGAGTGAAACTCCGAAACAAAATTCCACAATTTATTTTGGTCAGTAGCATGAAAAAATTAATCTTGCCAATTCTTTTGATGCTCGCATCACGAGTTCGAGCAACACAGGAGACAAGTGTTTTGACGTTTGCCAATTCTTTAAAAAATAAAAAAAAAAAACCATTTTGGTCATAAAATTTCGGACATTACCATAATTTGGCCAGTGCAGAGTTAGTTAAGATAGATTACATGAGGCTAGAAATAACTTGTTTCATTAGGGCAAAAAAGAAAGTTAGAAGACAAGCTTCCCGGATAAGGGCTTAGGACATCCCAAAAAAAAAAAAGTAAGAAATAAAGAATGAGAGAATAACAAACGAGGACCTTGTAAAATATTTCGAATAAATATGCCTTAATGGTCAATGAATAATGAGATGGATATATAGAATTGAAATCTTTAAAATATAAGAGAAGTTTGTGTTTTGTGATTATTAAGTTTATGAGAAGTTTGTCTAAGTTTTTAAAATAGAATAGATATGTTTGTTTGAAGATAAAATAGAAAGAAGGTCAAATATTTTACTCATTGTAAAACAAACAAATTAGAACGGGTTAGTTCCTAACTCATGGTTTGGTTCGGATTGGATGAAATTGTTTGCAGTCTTGTCCAACTTGACGTTGGATCAGCACTATCCACGAAACTAAGTTGGTGGTCTAATCCCCCATAATAGAACTTCTAAATTCTCCTTTTTCTCCGTTTCCAACGATTTTATTTATTTATTTATTTTTTTTGGTTTCTTACAGTTCCTTCAATAGGAAACATACTTGTTAGAATCGCTGTTGATGATTAAATATAATTATTTTTCTTAGTAAAAATTAAAACTTTAATTCATTATATTGTGAAGGAATAACCCTTTTCACTAGATTCAACCTCTAATAATAATTTAAACTTTTAATGTCATAACTTCTTCATCAAAGTAATGTCACCTTTGAAGTAAATAAATGGTAGCAATGTTGTCCCCAAGGTTAAGTGGGCAAACATTAATTGTTAACTTTGTTGATTCATACTTAATGATAATATTGCCACAATTTAATTAATTCAAAAATAATATTATTATTATTTGAGTCAAACTTATTTCTAAGTGAACAAAGTTAACTAATAACATTTGTTGATTTAACATTAAGGACAGCATTGTTATGATTAAATACTTCCGGAGTAATATTGTTGTGATAAATATGTAAAACATTGGATATTTTTTTAAAAAATAGTTCAATCATAAAAATAGACCTTTCCCCAATTTTGTTCAGTCACGTAATTTATTGATTTTCCCATTGCTGAAGTAGTTAAAGAATTACCCATTACAGTTTTTTTTCGGCTGCGAGAGATCAGATTCAAAATAAAATTTATATTAAATGACAAAATTAATTTTCTTAAAAAGAAATTGCACCTCGTACCCTCCACTCCTCCAGCGAGTGAATAAATCCAAGAAAACGATGAATAAGATGTTGATTATTCTACTTAATTGATTCCCTAGGCTCTCTCTCTGGTTTTTTTTTTTTTTTTAAATCATGCTCTTATAAGTAATGCACTAGAAATTAAAATATTGTTGCGCGCGCATGATAACACGTGACCGAAAAGTGATCAAATAGGGCTTGCTAGATCCTTGAAAATTACAACACGGAACCCCATATACGTTATTTTAAACACATGGAGATTTTTGTCGTTTTCTCAACAGAAAGTGATGTGATACAATTGTAAAAAGATGTCCTAAAAAGAATTTGTTAAAAATGCTTACATGACACATATTATATTAAAAAAATAATAATAAAATTTCTTTAAAATTTGTATATTTCAAAATTTTATAATTTTTTTGAATTTTTTGAATATTTTTTCTATGTTAATAATTTTAGGCTCTTTGGTTAATATAAAAATAACAGGTTTGGCTTTATTTTTTTAATTAAATTTTTTTAAACAATCATAATTTTTATTCTATGAGTTATAAAAATTAAATAAAAAATTATAACTTTTCACATAATTTTTTTATAAGTGATAAATAAGTTCTAAAAATAATCAGTTTCAATCATAGCCTTTATTAAAGCAATTATAACTTTGATTTTATAAATTGTAAAAATTAAATAAAAAATTACAACTTTCAAATATAATTTCTTTTATTATTGAAATTCAATTTTTGAAAAAATCAATCATAATTTTTATTTAAGTAATTATAATTTTTATTTTGTGAATCGTAAAAATTAAATAGGAAATTGCAACTTCTCTAGTAAATTTTTTTTATTATTGAAATTCAAGTTCTAAAATTACTATTTACAATTTTTGTTTAAATAATTATAACTTTTATTATGTGAATTATAAAAATTAAAAAAAATTACAACTTCCCACATAAACCTATTTTTTTAAATAAGGGATAATTTAATCATTTAACCTAAAATTATTAATATTAAAAAGGTACCTAAAAAATTTAGATAAATTATGACATTTTGAGAGATTTAATTACTATTTATAGATTTTAGTGAAATTTTATTATCATTTTTTTATATTTTAATTACCATTATACATACACACACTCCTCCTTTTTATCCACATATATTCTCATAGAGAAAATCACTTTCAAGTTCCATATCACAAATTTAAATACAAAAAAGTCACATGAAATAATAAAATCACTCTAAAGTTTCAAGTTCTTTACAAAATTATCAATTTATTACTACATTAAAATTATCAATTACCGTTGGATATTTATTAGTGAAGTTGTTTAATTGACAACTAAGTAAACAATAATTAACAATTATATAATAGAAATTGATAGCTTTAGCAAAATACATGGGAGATGGGACTTCAAAGTAATTTATTTATTTTCTGAAATTTTTTTCATTTATTTTTTTTTGTATGGGAGTTTAAAGTGGTTTTCCCAAATTAAAAAGAAACGAAGGTGTATTTAAAATAATAAAAAGGAAAAGGAAAGAAGGAGTCAAGAAGGTACCAAAAGTCTCCATAGAAATGACCCATAGGATGAATCTTGTCTAAACATGATGTCATTCTGAGGTTCAATTGTATGGAAGAAATATTAAATTTTCTGGGCGTTTCCCTTTCGTTTTCTGGGAAGAAAAATTTGAAGACGGAATGATGAGTAGGCCATTCCCTGTTGGTGCCTTTCGTTTTCAATCTTATCTCTTCTTTTTTAACCCACAGACACAACAAAACACTAAACAAATGGACTTTTCAAATTAAATGCAACCACTTTTCCAGTGAAAACAATACGTCTAACATTCCTTTTAGAAAGTGGCGTGAAAATGTTGTCTCACCAACAGAACATATCCAAAATGACTATTATCCTGTAAAATACAAGATAATTAATCATATTTTGTTGTGAACACGCTTTGTTTACTTAATAAAAAAATAACTTAAATATAATAAGTTGGATTTAATAGAAGGAACTATTTTCTCATATGATGAACCAAAATTCAAATATTCACTAAAAAATATTCTCACATTTAATACACAACCACACCTTAAATAAAATTGTCTCTAATAAGAACATACATATGAGTAGTTAAACAAAACTTAAATATCACTCTCTAAATTAAGCATGCAAAGTCTTTAAACTTTTTTCAGTTACCAATTAAATTCATGAAGTTTAATTCATAACTTATTCATTGTAGTTTTTTTGACTCAAAATGACTTAATCCTTATAACTATTTTAAATTTTAAGTAATTTTAAATGCAGGCATAATACCTGAAGAAGGACGTGATCGAACCCGAAACCTAATGCCACAAAAGGCACATCTGGTGATTCTAGAGCCAAGGGTCTTTGGCCATTTTTTTAATTTAAAAATTAGATACAAAAACATTTTGAAATTTTCTTCTATTTTGTGTATCAATTATCAAATATGCATGCAGATTATTTCCAGTTACATGAATTTTATTTATTTATTTTATTTTTCAAGAGCTTCCTCCTTCCTGTGATTTCTGAGAACAAAAAAATTGTGGGATTTCACCTTATAGGGAATATCCAACAAACAAAAGCAGAATATACATAGTACATGGCCACCGCGCGCCACCACAAAGACACTTTGCCTCTTAGTGGCCTTGTTCATTGATTCAGAAATTTCATTACTCACCACATTCCTTCCAATTCAAAACTCCATTAATGGCTCAACTCTTTTTATTATTTATTTTTCATCAATTTAGATCATTCCCACCATAACCACCTCCTCAAGCCATCAAGGATTCTTCTCAGACTTCAACCAAGTTGATGGTTCGGTAGGTCAGGATTATGGAACCCCTTGAAGCCTCCTCCTCCTCCTCCTCCTTCTCCTCTGACTAAGCCCTTGAACTCTAGAGCGGTACTCGCGGTGTTCTCACGGCGACTTCCTTGTTAGTTTCTAACAAGTTGAGACGGTCCTTGATTGTTTTATCAAACAGTCTGTTCTCTGGGTTCTCTGCATAGCATACATAGTAACAACTCACACAAGCATGAGGCACTGCCATGGCAATCCTTGTCTGCATGGTCAATATTTTTGAATTATCAGTTACAACATCTGATTCTTAATAAATTAATGCCAGATTCTGACGTAGATCTAGGCTGAAAAGAATATCAGCAAATCAAGTATAAGAACAGTCTTTAAGCATATCAAACGTGGGTCCCTTTGAAAAGTGTATAGCTGATATAGTACATATACTTATTAGTCTCAGCATGCTTAAATCGTTTTATTAATCTTCAGTATAAAACATATAATCCCAAGAGATTCTCTCTATTAACATATGAGATTCGATCACATGTTAATCACTCATTATAAAGTAAAGTAAAGTACATATCAACGTGGGTCATATTTAGCGCCAAAAAAAAAAAAACCCAAAGTGGGTCATACTAACTAACTACTAATATGGGAGAATATCAATGAAAGATCCAGAAAGAATTTAAATTTTTAAAGGAACACCGAACAGATATAGTACTTGTTAATTTCACCTTTGCTAACTCTTACCTGTCAAAAATCCTTTTAAGAAATTAAACTTATTCAGGAATCCTTCACTGATATTCTCCCTAATTTAGGTTTGTATAATATATATATATATATATATTAATACATCTATCTGATTCCAATATCCCGTATTGTCAGATTTGATCATTATTAGACCTAATTGGAGATTGCTATCTCGATGTATTTTTTTAGTTGCAAGATTCAAATCCTCAAGTTTGCTTGAGAATCGAATTTCTTCCATTCAACCCATCCACAAGTGGTAATATGCTCATTTTATTATTCCACCTACCAATCTTTTAAAAACCGGATACACTTGAGAACTTTTCTGATTTAGCAAATGAAAGTTGATCACGTGCAAATTACGCATAACAAAGTAAACAGTGTATTTTTTTTTTGTGTGTGTATTATAAAATAAAGTGGTCAAACAAGGGGCACTAACCAAAAGGTATCCAACGAAGAAAGTAAGAACGGAAAGGGTAGCTGTGAAACTTTGGTGAACTTTGGCAGTCCAAGCAGCCACCACAATGACACATATGGAGCCACTGCAAACTCCTGAGAGGAAGCAGATTGAGCTTGTTATATCAGAATCCACAACTTGTTCCATTTTTTCTTTCCGAAAGAGGGCCCACGTGTCTTGAGATGCCATCACAAATCCTTTCCCATACGCTGCTATCTGCAAAATATTAATTAAGTCATTTACCCAGATCAGTAATCCACACAAGTGAATGTTAATTGGGTTGATATCAGGATTAGCCGTTTTAAATACTTTTATAGAACAGTGGTGAGGACCACAATAATGATGTGTAGTTTTCAGATAGTGATGGCTCTCTAATGCCATCAAAGTTTGACAGGTCAAGCGGGACCAGATAAAAAGCTGCCAAAAGAAGTAGAGAAAAAACTTGAAAAAGTGTTTATGCAGATAAGTTTAAGCCAAAGATCAAGATCATATGCATAATCAATGGTTATTCATTGCTAAAACTTCTTAACACGTAATCTACAGGCTATTTAGCTATACTCGACTATAGAATTACTTGATACACTCAAAGGGATTAGGCCCATTTGTTGGTAAGGCTAGTTTATTTTTCTTTTTATTATAAGAAACGCTGGAGGAATAAAATATTAAATGCATCAGGCTGATGTAGGTAAGTGAGTTGTATAGACAACTTAGAGAGGGGATTCAGTTATGTGTCATGTTACCTGTACATAGGCCCAGCCATTACCATTTCTGAAAATGGACTCCATAACTCTGAGACAACAATGAGCACAACAAAACATGAACTCATCCTCTCCTTCAAGCAAATTTAAACCCCGGGCAACGATTCTGAGAGCTTCGATTGTTGGAACAAAGAGAGAGCCTAAACAAGCGCTTCCAAGATTCCTTGTTAATGCTCTGAGAAAGCAAAACTTAGTGCTTGATTGCATCCCTCTGAGATAATACAAGGCAATTACCCTACTAACAGTGATGTTAACAACATTCCTGAAGACCTCTATAGTCCAAGCCAAGCTCAACATCAACACCATTATAATCAACGGAGGAACATAAAAATTCAAGGCTCCCATCACAGCTACAGTCCACAGAGTCATCCAGAGGAATGAAGCACCAAGCACACAGTAAGTGGGATAATTCAAATCTGGGAATTTTGCTACTGGCAGAAGAGATAGGCTCAAGATCTTACAACAAAACTTAATTCTATTGTAAACCCAACAGGCATACAAGCCATTGCCTATTGAAAAAGCAATCAAACAAACTCCAACACCATTAGTGGAAGGTCTCTGGAAGCAAAGAAGAAGGACTCCAGCTGCAAGAGACATCAGAAACGAGCACCAGAGTATGAAATGAACCATAAAAGTTGGCCACTTCCTTATTGCTTTCTGCCATATAAATGCTAGAGTGATGCTAATAAGGCATGCAGCTTCCACTTGTGGCAGAAAGAACTTTAAAACCCTTTTCTCTTTCCTTCTGATAGAACCTGGTGCTTGGATTAGCCCTTGGATTCCCTTGAAAATAAGAAAGCAAACCAGAACAACAGCCAAAAAGAAGTGGAGAAGGAAGAGAAACAGGGATATTCTGTTGGTGTATCTTCTCGAATTCAATGTCACGGGTCGCTGTAAAAATTAAAATAAAAAAATTATAAAAAGGAAACAGAATCCTGAGAAAGGTAACATCAGCTCTTCAAGAATCTACCAATAAATTCACATACGTGAACAAGATTTTTGAGAAAGATTCAAAAATTCCAGGTCCTCTTCAAGAAAAAAAAAATGTCAAATTCAGAAAAGTAATTCTCTGAAAATATAAAAGTAAAGCTTACCTGTGGCTGCAGGGTTGGAACAGAGCGAGGCTGAGATTCAGGAGGAGGAGGAGGAGGTGGATGAGGATGAGGAGGAGCAGGAGCAGCAGCAGCAGCAGCAGCAGCAGGAGATGCAACTCTGGTATTGCTGTTAATTACAATCCTCAAAGGGTTCGTGGGGTTCAATCTATGAAACATCGAGTGCTGAAATTCTTCATGAGCATGACGATTTTCGACATTATTATAATTGGTCTGAATATCTCTCTCTTCGAAATCCACTTTACCTTTTTCCAAATCCTTAGCCTCTTCTTCCTTTTCCTCCTTGTTTCCATTTCCTTCTCTCACTTCAGCTTCTGCTTCACTTCCTCCCTCAACAACCTACCACCACACAGCCAACAAAAAGGGGGAAAAAAGAATTAGAACTTCGCAAAAATAGCAAAACCACTATGAAGCTAAGAAAAATACAGCAATCAAAACATGCAAAGCAAAATCTTTAGCTCACAGGTTGTTCAGCACCCATTTAAAAGTCAAGAGTCCTTCGGTGGCGGTGGCGGTGGTGACGGTGGCGGCGGAGAGTGACGGAGACGGCGTCGCTGATGGTCTCTGGAATGTTTTACTTGTCTTAATGAGGGGTGGATTCTGTGGTAGATGACGTTATTTGTTTTAGCCCGTTATTTTGTTCACTAGGCTTTTTCACACCATGCCCCATAGTATCAGAGCATGTGAGACCCACAATTTAACTATTTAATATCAAACACGGCAGAGTAAATTATTTATCTTTTCCATGACTTTTAGCTAAATTACATTTTATGTCATTTGTTTTTAAAAGGAAGAACGACATTTAAACCCCTCTCAATAAAATTTATTAAAACAAGAGCTTATTAATTTTGTATCAGATATTATATTATAAAAATATATATATGTTATTATTAAAAGGTGAACCTTAACTTGTACTCCCTTCGTTTTAAATTATAAAATACTTTTAAAAAAGTTTTTCCTTCTCAAAATATAAGACAACCAAAATATAAGACACTTTAAATAGATTAAGGTTTCATTAAATGTATCAATTTTAATATAATCCTTTCTCTCTCTATAATTAATTTTCATCACTTCTCTTTTCAATATATTAAATGATGTGTATTTTAGAAAGTTTATATTTTTATTTTGAAAAAATAAATTATTAAGTGTATTTAATGAGGTTTATTGGTAAGTAAAATTTTATCTAAAAGTATTTTATAATTTAAGACAGAGAGAGTATTTTTTTTGTGGGGAATGTAATAAATTAAGGTTCAACTTTTAACAACATATACATATTTGATGAGAATATAAAATTTATGACCTTTATTGTAATAAATTCTCTTGAGAAGGTCATAAATGTAATTCTTCCTTTTTAAAATGGATGATTCACAAATAATAATTAATGTTAATGTTAGCTTGTTAAACTCGTGAGTTTAAACAAACTTATAATAGAAATGTAAACTTAAATAGTAACTTATAAATTTTACTTTTATTAAAAAATAACAATTGAAAACATATTATTAAATAATTAAAATATAAAATATAATTATAATATATTTGATTTAAATATATTTTAAATATAAAATCATTGAAATTAAATCCACCTAGGTTAATAGATTATCATGTAAAATTTAAAAATTTAAAAATAAGGCAACATAAAAATTATTTTTGGTATTTGTTGTTTTGTTTTTTATTAATATTAGTTTTTTCTTTTTATGTTTTTTTCTCTTCATACCAGGTCCTGTCACCTTTATGAATAGAGTTCTACATACTATATACTTAATTCACTCAACTTAGTAAAAAAATTGGCGAGTTCAGCAAGTTTAATTAAATTTGCATCCAGTTTAAGTTTATGAATTAATTGATATAATTTTATAAGTTAAAAACATAAAAATAATAAACTCTTAAGTTTAACTAAATTTATATCTAGTTCGAATTTATGAGTAAGTTGACATAATTTTATAAATTAAAAATATAAAAATGTTAAAATCAAATAGTCAACTTAAGAGTTTGAGAACTATTACTCCGATCATGGATATTGATTTTTTTTGCCTCCAATTTCTATGTTATAAAATTAGGACAAATAAGTCTTAGCATTTTTAAAGATCTAAATTATATGTTTTTCTTTTAAGATATAAAAGTGTTTTAAAAGATGAGAAATGATAAGTTTATCATAGAAAAATATTTTAAGTTAATATATTTAAATGTCATTGAATTTAACATAAATTATATATTTATAAAATTGATTATCTTTTGAGTTAATTGAATAAGCAAGCAATATTTATTATGCTGCATAAGTAGTAAACATAAGGATGTTTCTAGTCAAAATAAATGTGACTGTAACTTTCCTTTTATTAATGTATGTTTGGCTGTAACATATCTTTTGTATCTTGACATCTCTCAAAGAAGACGGAAATATTGCATCTATAATTTAACTTTCATTAATTATTTTATAATTGTATTAAAAATAAAATTACAATCATCAATAAACACTAGTTCTAGTGAAAGAGACTATATCAATTTAAACATTAAATTTTGAGTTTGAGTTTGAGTTTGAGTTTGTACAAATAGAAAAAAAAAATCCTTCAAATAGTTATCTTCAATTGAGTCTGATAATATTCAAATATCACATAATCAAGTAACCATGTAAAAATAAAATGAGCAAAACTATGTCAAGTGTCTTTACTAACTAACTAGCTGGTTAACTTATTTTATGTTACGTGAAATTATAATCATATAAAACTATCCAATCTTTTGGCAGGACAAGTCTAATATTCTTAATAACGCTTATCAAAAAATAGAATCTCACACTTTTTCTAGTAATCAAATTCAAAGCATTCATAGAGTTATTGAATATGATTACCTTCTCAAACCCGCTTGATTCTAATAAATCTTTAAAGTTGAAATCCTAAGGATTGTCAAAGTGAGGGGCTTGGGAGAAAACTTGAACTTTAGACGAAGGCCACCACCTTGATACCTCCATTACTTAAAAAGAAAAAGCACCACTAACAGCTTGTTATCTATGATACATTGAACCATCTCAATTCCAAAGGTTAATACAAAAACACAATTAAGCTTCCCTACATTGGTTTCTCCCTCTTGTTGATAAATCTATAGTAGTTACACCCTCACCTTAGGGAGATAGCAACTATTACTATTCATATGTATTTGTAAATAAGGGTAGTTTTGTGGAGGAGCAAGACCTGCTCTATTATAACTCCCTTGAATCAAGAAGGAGATCTAGACTAGAATAGGCCTTGCAGAGAAGCAAAACCAACTCCTTTATAAATAATTCTATATCTAGTTATTCATAACATTTGAGAAAACTTTCTTAGAGGAAAAAACTCCATTCTATGATAATTTTTAAGTCATATTACTACTTTTAAGGTGTAGATTTCTTTTTTTTTTTGGCTTGCCAATAGTTTTTGGCTTTAGCTCCAATTTTTCAAGTCCTTAATCTAAATTAATCCAATCAACAACTTATAGGCACCTTTTTGGGGTATCTCTTTCTTGAAGAATTTTAATTATCGTTATATATCTTGAGTTTGAACTCAAGACTTCTAATTAAGTTAAATTAACCTTTAACCAATTGACCCAAATAACTAGTGGTTTTGGCGAATAGTTATGATGCACTCTCTTGTTTCTTAATATAATACAAAATTTGAAAACTTTTTCACTCATTGATATAGGATGGAATTTGAGTAATTAGTGTTTTTTTATTCCCTATTTATTTATCATTATTTGAATTTCTAACTAATAATTTGTTATAGTTATTAACTGCAAAGAAATGTAAGATTGGAAAGCTATTTTTTCAAAAAATAATTTTAAGATTATAACTAACGTTTCTAATAAGCTTGAAATTAGTTAGTTAAGAACCAAAGGAAATGCATAGGTAGGTAAAATAAAGAGGGAAAAAACACTTTCAATGTTAAATAGTCTTCTGATCTTATTTATAAGTCATTTTTAATATCTTTCAGTGGAATAAAAAAATCATAAATCTCATTAATTTTGTTTTAAAATTTAACAAGTTTTCATCTTTACTCTTAATAAATATTTTTAAATATCATTATTGATATTTTCATTCCAAACATTTAATAAGGGCAAAAATATAAAAAAGAGTATTAAAAATTGATAAGTACCTTATAAACCAGATTAAATTTTTTTTATCAATGCCTTATAAATAAAACTAAAGGAGTAAGAATTAAGAAAGATAATAAAAGTGGGGGGAAAAAGGATATAGTGACACTTTAGGACTCCAACATTTAATTTAAAATGTAAAATAAGAAACGTTATTTAGATATAGTGACACTTTAGGACTCCAACATTTTACTGACATTTTTAAAAGTTAGTTAATCAAAATGTGATTATTCGCGTGCGAATTGGAAATCCTAAAAAGTTAAGTTGAAAGTCTTACAAGCTAATTTAGATATTTTAAAAGCTCGATTAGAATATCAAGTGTATGTTTTATATTCATCTTTTAATTTTGGTTGATTATTTTTTTTTGTTTAATGCCAGTAAAAGATTCTTAATTTGAAATTTGAAGTATTGGAATATCATTGTTCTTTTGGTCTCAAAGCGTCATTTACTCCTTATCAAAAAGTGTGTACTATAACAATAATAACAGCGCAGGCGCTGAGATTTGGTCGCGTGATGAGATTTGACGAAGGAGATGCGGCGTGTGATGGTGAGATCAACGGATGAGATTGGATACAGTGTTGACTGTTGATGACCGAGAATAACTACTAGATTCCCTAATGAAAAGATAAATGGACCCCACGTGGCTAATTTTCACTGTAAAAAAATAATAAATACTTCGGAGCATCCGAGGCATCATGTGGGGATTTGGTTTTGAATGAGCATCACTTAATAATTATTTAGACCGTTTGAATTTTTAATGTGAATAGTTCAAATTTTATAAAATTTATTTTTTATTTTATTTTACATTTATTATAAAAAATTATAAAATTTTAATAAATTTATTACCGTCAATTTCAACAATATATATTTAATTTGATGGTCTACTTTAATATTAATTTTTTAAAAAAATTTTATAAGTTGATTATTCAGATGTACTTATCCAGAGTATGTCTGGATATTCAATTTATGAAAAAAAAATTAATATTGAATTGGACAATCTAGATTAAATCTATATTGTTCAAATTAATGATAAAGTAAATTTATTATAATTTTATATTTTATATTTTAATAAATATATAATAAAATATGAAAAATAAAAAGTGGTAAATCTAGACGATCCAAATTTCTTATGACTGAAACTAAACCCATCAAGTGGAGATGGGGATGTAAATTAATCTAGATTACATGAGTTGAAAAGAATATAAGTTGGGTTGAGTTTAATTTATTTTTATATGGGTTGAAAAATTTTTAACCCACTTCAATGCTCATAGGTTGATGAGTTAAGTGAACTAACCCATCAATTTATTTATTTATTTTTTCATGAATTTTTTTTTAAAAATTACTCATAAATAAGATGTTTTAATATGATATTACATGCAATTAAAAAATTTACACCATAAATGTATGGGATTTATCAATTTCATCTTAATTCATTCCAAAAATCTACTTGTTTTGTAGAGGTTTAGTGTCAAAAACTCCCTCCATTTTTTAGTTTTTCAATTTTATTTAATTTTTAATAAATAATTTGAGTTAAATG